CGCGTCCCTGTCACCCTCGGGGGGCAGAAACCCACCCGGGCCGGTGGGGCTGGCACCCACCCGTGGGGATGCGGAGTTTTCCAGAGCAGGGCGAGGAGCAGGGATTCCCCACGGGACCCTCACCCGTGGGTGCCGATAAGGCTGAGCCAACCCTCACCCTCCGCTATGGACCGGGACGAACCGGGTGGTGATGTTGGTACCGGACAAAATTAAGGGTTGAGGAGGGGTGGTTTCATTTTGGGGGGGGTCCCTGCTCTGATCTACCGGGCCGGACCTGCAGCATCAACCGCAGGGTTGAGGAGGGTTGGTTTAATTTTGGGGGGGTCCCTGCTCTGATCTGCCCCGGACACGCAGCGGGGACCCCGCAGCATCAACCGCAGGGTTGAGGAGGGGTGGTTTNGGGCTCTGCATGCCCAGGTGTGGTGGGAGGAGGCGATGCTGGCTCTCCCCTCCCCGGGCAGCTCGGACGGACTCGCCCCGCGGCCCCGGCCTGGCCTGTCCTCACTTGCCGGCTGCTCTCGCTTCCCATTCCCTGCTCCTCAGCCAGCCTCCCATTTCCTCATTGCTAGGAAATGGCAAATTCCCCCCGGGCTGGTTTCAATGGCTCACGGATCCCTCGCCTTTGGCCTCTCCCCAGTTTCTCCTGGGCTGGTTGGAGCTCAGCCTTGGGGAGCAGGCTGAGCTTTTTCCCAGGCACGCAGCCCTTGGAATCCTCTGTCTGGGAGGACACCCCGCCCTCGGACCAGGCCAGATTCGCCCCTCTGTGCTGACACAACACCAACACCGAGCCCTTTTTCCGCTGGACGTGGTGGATTTGGGGGTTCTGACGTCCTCTGCTCCTCTCCGTGCTCACTGTCATGGCACAGCTCTGCGAGCTGCAATTCCAGGCTCCAGTTCCTCTTCTGCTTCTTGGTTTCACGTTAAAAACGCCTTTGTGGTCTCCCTCTGCAAACCCCTCGTGGGGTCACTCCAGGGCTCCTTCCTGGGGTCACCACGCTGAGATTACCACTGGTCCCATAAAATCACCCTTGGGTTTGCAGCCTGCTCTGCTCCTGATCCCTGGCTGGAATCCCATCCTTCCCGCCCTCGGGACCACTTTCACTGCGGGCCTGCTCTGCAGTTTCCCTGTTAATCAGCTGTCTCCTTATCTCCAGGTCACACCGCGCCAGCTGCCGCCGCTATTGTTCCCCAGCTGGATAATAACAGGAAGGGCTTGGAGAGCCAGACCTGTGTGGGACTGAGGCGACCCAGAGGTCCCAGCTCCTCCAGCAGCTCCTTGCTGGCACAGCCTGGAGCCCCCTCCAACCCCTGGGAGCAGCCAGGGTTGTGGGGTTGGAGTTCCCCACCCCAGAGTTGTGGGGCTGGAGTCCATCATCCCAGAGTTGGGGGATTGGAGTCCCCCACCAACCCCTGGGAGCAGTCAGAGTTGTGGGGCTGGAGTTCCCCACCTCAGAGTTGTGGGGTTGGAGTCCCNTCTGTGTGACCTCGGGCAAATAACTCAGAGCCTCAGTTTCTCCTCTGAGTCTGATTCACTTCAGTTTTTGGCCGTGCCACCAAATTATCACTGAGCAGCAGCTCTGTCCCCGCTCGGTACCGAAGGTGGGGACGTTTGGGGTGTCCCCACAGCTCTTCCTGCCGCTCACCCCACTTCCCTCGCAGCCAGGAGTGTCACAAGCCGAGCCTGTGCTTTGGGGAGATGCAAGATAATCATTTGTGGTCTGTGAAATGTCACAGCCGCCGTCGCATCCCGAGGCCACCACAGGATCCACGGGAAATCCCTCAGCTGGGGAATTCAGACACCAACCAGACCCCGCCTGTGGTGCTGGGCAATGAAAGTTCCCCCACAGCTTTCATCGAGGGGGATCTTTAATTAGCACAAAATCTTGAGGCTTAATTGCACTTGGGTTCATCCTTGTGCTTCCACCTCCGGGAAGCTGGGGAGATGTTCCCACATTCCCAAAGCCTCTCCTGACCTGGAAAGATGTTTTAGAACCGGGAATGGGTTTTTTCCTCCCAGAAATTTTACCTCCGGGAGCAGGGATGGGATGATGAGCCCGGCCAGCCCGTGGCTCCATCCCTCTCCAGCTCTGGATCAGGATCGGGGCCACATTGACTCATGAGCCGACCTTGTGCGCCTCCAACCCGATCCACCCAGCTGGAAAATCGGGTTGGACTGGGCCC